TAATTATTCCTTTGTTGCATTATCATAAGGATTCTCCATTTTCAGAAAATGAGCTCTAACCTGGAAAATAATGCACATACAAATATTCTACAGGAAATCAACTATACAGAAATATACAAAGCATTTTTTTAGTTTATGCAAAATACAGAATTAGAATGCCCAACATCCTAAATCTTCTAATACATGAATCAAAGTACTCATAATTCAGTTAGTTATTATCATCAGAACTATAAAAGATAAACAAGCCACCTGGAAAAAAGACAATGTTTACATGTATCTACAACAGTGCAAATGTATCACAGCGTGCAAGCAGCAGCAGTCTCTAGAATAGCAAAACCAACAGGAATCCAAAGTAATGCAGTGTGCATTACACAGCCAAGACAGAAGAACAGTTATTATACAGTAAATGCACTCTTTAGCACGCTGAGGTTTTGAAATTACTTGCATTGACTTTTGCTTTTCTTAAAAAAAAAAGAAAGAAAAGAAAGGAAAACCACACATACACATAAATGTCTTAAATAAGTAAGTAGGTTTTTAGGGCAGCAACTCACCACAACTAAGAATCTACTTTGCACAGAAGGTATAATTTGAAAACAAAGGGTGTCAAAAATACTGTCACGTTGATACATACGGCTGATAATTGCTCTCTCACCATTAAAGATGCCCCAGATAATAATAATAATAATCCATTATTTGTTTTAAAACTACAAATAAGAATTTTTGCTGGGCTGTTTTTGGAGTAGGGGTTTAGCAAAATTTCAGCAATTCTTAGGCATGGAGCTCAGTAGAATATACTTCCTAAAAGAAAAGCAGGATATGAATAGCGTGAAACTTATAACATACACATTAACTGAAAAGTTTTGTGATCTCTATATATTATTGTTCTAATATTTCTGAAAATAGCAAGTTTCACGTAAAAATACAATAAACCAAATGGCTATATTTGCATGACATGCTTAAGCTTGTTTATTGGAATCATAGTTTACCCCATTGGTCCAATTTTCTGGATTTGTATAACACAGTGAATCATAAACTAGCTGCACAGGCTGGAGTTTCATGATGCATTGAGCTAAATTGCGATTAGCTGCTTTGTAGTTTAGTGTGTTGTATGAATTCAACCAGGATATTCCCCACATATTTAGTTGGGCTTCCAAGCCAAGCTCAGATATATGCAAATATATATGCAATCAATACGTTTTATTGAGGTGGGCGAGGGACAAGATTCCTGCTTGTCTGTACCAAAACCATGAGTACCTTTTGTCTTCAGATTAAAACATAAAAGCCAGTAATACAGAGCAATCCTGAATCCCTCCCTCCTGCAATGCACTCCCAAAATATGTGAAACAGACACGCCCACTACTCCAACTGAAAAGCAAGGGAGGTCCTGAACAAACCTTAGTTGTAATATCTGTATGTGACTAGGTATTTTCAGGGATGTGAACAAGAAAAGAACATTTTGCTTGTTTTTTTTATATTACATTTGCCATACGTGAAATCATTTTTGTTTACTAATTTCACACAGTAATGACTTCCAGTTTCCATTGCTGAAAATAATTCAAGTAGATTTACAACTTGTAAAAGAATTTTATTCAAATGTGGAAATATGCCAATTATACTTTTGGCTTAAGAATGGGACTGCAATATCTAGGACAGCAATATTTTTAAACTTGATATTCCAGACAATCCTGGCATGTTAACAAATTCTCTGGTAATCTCTTAGAAACAACACAATCAAGTTAAAGTGCCCAAGTTTAAGTAATCTACAAACTAACACCAACAGAACTTAAAGAGACTTAATGTGGAGTGTGTTCTTTCTTTTTCAAAAGAATTAGGAATTTATTAGTGACTTGATCCAATATAGTATCAGAATATGGAAATGATTCCGTGTTATCCAAAATGGATACATCACACTGGAAATAAAAAGAATTATTAAGGATGTCATATATAGTCCCAACATAAGCCACTTTTCTTTCACATGTTTTGTAACAGTTGTGATGGGAGAAAGGTGTTTCTAACAATAAGATGGCCAACTCAAAGGATTATAACCATTACAAAATGATTACAGGGTTTTAGATTACTCACTTATTCAAAACATCCACCGCTTGGCCTCCCCCCCCCCATTTCTTAATCTATTGCCCTTCAGAGAATGCACTGAAAAATTATCAAGCCGCATATCCTCTGTGGCCCATGTTTCCTGTAACAAAATAATGTTATATTTAGAGATATAATCCATAAACGATTTATCCCTACACTTGCAGTATTGCAGTACCTGCAGTATTCCATGAAAGGATGTTCAGTTCCTATGAATGCCTTGTCAATTAGCAGATAGCACCTGAGGACTTTCTAGCAAAGCACTTCTTGTGTGACTCTTCCAAATCTAGTGGTAGTCCATTACAATTCATTGACTGGTTTTGAGGCCAATTATCCTCCAAAGGGTATAAGAAAAGTTTTCTTGTTGAAGGTATGTAATCACATTCTTGGAGATTGTCTCTGCTAGTCACAAATGTTGTTACATATCTGCTGCTGATTTACAAAGTACATTCTTAATGGTTTCTGGATACAGACCTACAAGTACCTAATTAGTGGTGCAGATTTGAATCCTGTGATAGGTACAGATAAAATTGCATGCTAATTTAAAGAACAGTGTCTGTTTTTATTTTTTACTCTAAAGTTAAAACTAGGATTATGGGGAAAGAAGGACGTTGGCTTTGCCAATTAATACAATCCCAATTACTCTATTATTTTTCAGTAATATAAACTATGCACTTCAGGAACATGTACTACTAGTTTACAAGAATTGTGGAAGGGGCAAATCTTATAATATGGATAAAACTAATTTATCTTCAACCGTATAGCCTTGTTTTTGTTTCAATTTCTATTTCTTTTGCTTTGATGCTCTAGCTTAACTCTACAGATCTGGCTTGAGTGATTTAGTATCCATTCAACAATAGCCTCCGTTGGAAACAGCAATTTGATCTGGTTTCTGAATAGACAACTTGAAATCTGTTTTGGATTGAAAACAGCTTAATTGGTTTTCCTAACAAACCAACCTGAATCCATTGCACTGAGGTAGATAAGACTGGCCCGGAGTGCTAGTCTTTTTTCCTATAATGTTAATTTTATCAAATAATGTTCTGAGACAAAGTGCTATATGTACAGCTAGTATTTGAAATCAGGATGTAGGCACTTCTAATAATTGGCGTCAGTTTACACATCTCACTTATCAAATTAGATGTCAAACTAGTAACAAAAACAGTTTAGATAAATTTGGTTGGAATCTAGCAAAAAGTGAGTGAGGGAAAAATAAACTGCCTATGAATGGGTTTGAAATCACCTAGCCCTGCTGGAACGTCAAGGAAGCATGATTTGAATTTCTTTTTGAGACATTCAGAATTGGTGAAAACAAAAATAATAGGTTTATGTATATTGCTAGGTAGGGGCATATACATTTATTTGACTATGACCTTTTTAACTAAGTCCTTAAGCATTCATCATACCAAACACCAAACTACTGGTAGTCCTTTCTCTTTTTAGAATATGTGTTATTAAAAACATGCTACAGTATTCAAACAGGCTTTGAGATTGGTTTCTAATTTGCTCTCTTTCGAGTTTTGCATTCACAGAAAATAGATAAAACAGACAGAAAATGAGACTGAAAAGACACTACAAAAACAGAATGCTAGGAGAAAGGAGCTGGGTATTCATCTTGATTTTAAAATTCTTCTACATCATTCACCATAATATAATATAATATTACAAATTTGGTTTATGAGACCAGCTCATATAATTAAAACTCCAAAGCTGGGTATTAAGGAGAACTAATATCAGATTTCTCACCTACTTTATTTTTAAGCATTCGGTTTTCATACAACTGGAAAAATGTATAGACTACTGCAGAATTTCTTGTGGGAAAAAAACATATAAGATGCAGCAAGAAGTGATGATAGAACATTTTCTGTTTTTTCACTTATAATAAAAGATAGACATTCTCAGTCTAGTTGCCAGAACTACAGCTACCTTAGAAGAAATATACTTTCCAGGAGAGGAAACTCTTGGGATCAGCAGTGACGTTTTTCAAAACTGAAACAAGTTTCCATTTTAGTTCTTCTAGGGGTCAGACGACAACATGATTTGCAACTGAGCTTTGAAAACTCATCTGCCACAACCAAAAGAGCCACATTCTAGAACTGTATGTGGTCACATTTGTCCTCTATCTCTCTGCTCGAATTTTGTATCTGAGAACAAAATAGGCAATGAGACGTAAGGAGATGAAGAAAATTCCAAGCACAATGAAGTCCAAATAAAGTTTAGCATTTTCTACATCCAGCTCTTTGAGGATAGCCTTTGACTTCTGAAAATGACAAGTGTCATCTTTGTCACAATGAAGATCTTCTCGATCCAAACCATAGATGGAAAGAATGACACCTTCAAATCCATACCTATGGGAAGGAATCATTTGCAAGGTCAAACTTAAAGCAAGCCCAGATCTGCACCATACTGGCAAAGAAATGCCAGAAATAATGTATATAGCAACAGAATTATTATTTGATTAATATTTTATATTTTGGTTCTGCTGATCACTCAAGGGGGTTAATAAGAAATTAAATAAAGACTACAGATATTAAAAACATACATTTGAATTAATGCAAAAAATAAATAAAAAAACCCCTCTCCAACTGAAAATAAAGGTGTTGTCTCTCAACAGAGATTTTTTTTTTATCCCTCATGGTCAGGAGAGTTGTATTGGATTATTAGGCTGAAAACAAGTAACTTGAACCAAAGCAGTTCAGAGGGTTTATGCTAAGCCAAGCTTTGAACTCGGGCTGTATAACTCAGCTCCAATTTTAGATATCCAGCAGATCAGATTGGTTTACTCATATCTGGACTCCAGAAAGAGAAAATATATACAGCTTTCCTGCACATTCATCTTTTTTTTTTAGAAGCGCATGAATGGATGTTTGCACAGCACATATATAGACAAATACACATACCAAGAATACTTAAAGATGAAAAAAGCTTGCTCTGTGAAAATAAAATTCCAAAGAATGGTCTAAAATAGAGGTCCCCAACCCCCGGTCCATGGACTGGTACCAGTCCGTGGCATGCCAGCAATTGGTCTGCACAAACAAGCAAAGCCCCATCCATGAGATGCAGGCAGCACACAAAACCATGCAATCACTGGTCCATGGAAAAACCTTTCTCCACAAAACCGGTCCCTGGTGCCCAAAAAGTTGGGGATCTCTGATCTAAAAAGATATAGCCTTTGCAGAGTTAGCTTGAAAAAAACAAGAAGCACTCTTCAAATGTACCTGACGTAAGACATGTAGGACATCCACTGGAGATAAGCAGGAATGGTATCAAAACTGACAAAGAAGCCTGAGAAGAGAAGAACTGGGATTGCTGTAACAGGACCAACAAATGTTGCCACCTTTAAAAAAACAAACAAATATTTTTTAAATTAACAAATCAAACGTTGGATCAAACTTTTATGAGAATCATATTGGCTAAAAAAACTGTTTCAGTGATATTCGGCACGGACTGCAAAAACATAATGAGTACAGTTCAATTCCCACTACCAATACATAATTCCCCAAGCTTTGGCTATGCTGGCTGGGAAGAATGGAATTGGAAATCCCAAGGCCCCTGGAGGACATCAGGTTGAGCCAGGCTCACCAAAGAAAGAGATACAGAAGATCACATAAAGCAGAAGAGACCTGAAGTGAGGTGGATGCTGCTCCAATCAGAAGTCCCAGGGACTGAGCCACAAGTGATGTCATGGTCCCCAGTGCTGCAAACAGGAGAAATCGCAGAGCATCAGAGGGCTGCGCTGTCATCCAGTACACAATGCTGCAGTAAGCCACAGGAAACATAATCTGTAGTAGACAAATAACAGAATATGGTGCTCTGTTAAGTCAAAAGTAAAGGAAGGAAATATATCCCTATTTAACATCAAGAAAATAAAGTGGAAGAGAGAGAGATGGGTGTCCCATCTCTTTGTCTTTATGAGCTGAATGAAATTTTTAGTTCCTGTATCTATCACTGCACATGAGAAGCCAGACACTAGAATACTTTTCCTACTTCTTATCAGATGAGTCACATCCTATCAGGATTTTTCCAGAGTAGAACTCTAGTTTATGAAATGGTTGGCATGTACATATAGATGAGGACCACTGGAGCAGCTTCAGAAGCAGACACCAGCCGTGTGAAAAATACAGGTACTTTGATAAATTGAAGAGTTTTCTTTGCCCAGGCACATAGAATGAAATATTACATTAAGTGCTCTGCACATGCCTAAAGTGTTATTTATTATTTATTTATTTATTTAATTTAGATGTAGCTCATCTCCCTGATAAGGCAACTCTGGGCAGCTTACAGATTTAACCTAATTGCAACTCAAATATAGCTGGTTTATCTTTTTCTCAAGATTTGACAGTTACTGGAAACTGATTCATGAGACCATCCATCTGCGATTTAAATTTCATTTCTTGACACAATTGTAAAATGCCATTTGGCTATCCCATTTTCCAGTGTATAATAAAAAGAAAACATTTAGGAACTGGTTGTATACTATATAGCAGTGGTGGCAAACCTATGGCATGCGTGCCAGAGAGAGCACTCAGAGCCTCCTCTGTGGGCATGTGCACTCCCCCAGCCCCACTCCCCCCCCGCAGCCCTCTTCTCACCAGCAGCCCCCCCCAGAGGAGAGTAGCCCCTGGGCACGGCCACACAGAGCAGTGCAGCCAAGGACATGGCAGCCGGGCAGTGGGGACAAGACTCTACTCTCACGCCCCATCACGTGCAGATGATGCTGCAGGCCACGGGCAGAGGGCGTGGCCGCCATGGCACTGCTGGGCCGCCTGGGTGATCTGCTGCGGCGGGCCATGGAGGCAGTGGGTGGCCCTGTGGGTGACGGGGTGGGGCGGGGTAGTTTTTGGGCACTCGATCTCTAAAAGGTTCACCATCGCTGCCATATAGCATATATTTATGTACTATAAAAGGATTTGTAGCAGTATTAATTCATACTCCCGATGAAATGACATATTGCATTTTGCAAGCCACATAAGAAAATTTCATCTGATTACTATTGCTATCTATCTTCCTGTCCTAAACTAATCATGAGACACAGAAAGAGATTTACCTGAAAAGGGACATCAGCCATAGTTTTAGCCAAGTAATAAGCCTTCAAACTGTACCAATAATTCAGATGTTCTCTAAGAAATACTCCCATCTCAAGAGGAACTATATAGAAAAATAAAAATAGCACTTGAAATACATAAAATCCAAAGCAATTCTAGTAATTAATGCCATATTGAAAAGAGGAGTTAAACAGGGCTGTTTACTTGCTCCCTTATTTAATTTCTATATTAATGATATTACAATGGTCATGAAGTCACAATATATTTTCTCCCTTTTATTTAATGGACAGAAAACGCCAGTATTAATGTATGCTGATGACATGGCTCTTATCTCCTGTATTGAAATTGGCTTTAGCAAATTACTGACTAGACTTGTTGTCTGTCCTAGCATGGGAAAAAGGGAGAAAATAGAAGATAAATTATAATAAAACAAGGACAGTTGTTTTTGGCAAAAGTAATAATAAATACAGATGGACAATTGATGCTAGACATGAACCAGCAACCTTAAGAGTTTCACAACCCACTTGACTACTGGAAGATTATGTTCTTTTAAATAATAAGTTTTTAATAATCCTTTATACATGATTGCACATTGTTTATTGATCAAAGGGATTGTTTGATAAGCAATCCCTTTGGAGCAATCCCAGCCTCCACTTTGGAGCAGCTGTTGGCACTTTAAAACCCTAAAGTGAAAAGACAATTTCCCTCTTAGTTGCACAGATTTAGCAATGAAAGACAAGGATTAGCTTGGAAGACTAGATCTCTCTTTTGGCTGCTGAATTCACTTACCTTATAGCAGTGATGGCGAATCTTTTAGAGATCAAGTGCCCAAACTGCAACCCAAAACCCACTTATGTAACGTTGGGTGCCGGGTGGGCATGGCCCATTGGGTGGGTGTGGCTGCGGTGGTAATGGTAGACTGGGTGGGACTAAAAAGTTCAATCAATCAATTCCAACTTTGCGAGATTTTTTTTTTCCACGAGAAGTTGAAATTGATTGATTGATTGAACATTTTTTTTTTTGCACACGGCAGCGGAGGCCTAAAGCGAAAAGGTTTTATAAAACCCAGCTGAAGGCCTATGACTGGGGCGACGACGTGGGTGCCCACAGAAAGGGCTCTGTGTGCCACCAATGGCACGCGTGCCATAGGTTCGCCACCACGGCCTTATAGTAAGCAAAAAGGATTAGGATGAAAGGCTGCTAAAACCAGACTACCTGATTAACCAGAGGGAAGGGGAATAAATGGTCAGAGGGGGAAGAGTTTTAGCTGGTAAACAAGCTTGCTTTCATTGTTCTCATGTTTGTTGGTGAAAGGATGCTAGCCAAAGTGGTAGATTTTAGAGTATTTCTCCTGAATCTTGATTGGGAAACATAATTTGCTACTGATTATAAAGGTAGTCTTTTAAAACACTCTAATCTGCCCCCACCCAAGTTCTTCTGTTGGTTTTTTAAAATTGTTTTGTAGATAGAGCTATCTTTCATTAACTAAGCTAAGCAAGAGTAGCTGGGTTGTATGAAAATGGGGAGTTACCTGACAATACCCCCCAGTGGAAGAACAAGGAAACACATATGGAAAATAGGAAGGAGCGCTTGAATGATCAACTGGTAATCCTAGGTCCAGAAAGATGTAAACAAATGCATATTTCAGGTACCTATCATTCTCCCGAACTTACACCACATTCCAAACACTGCAAATGCTCACCCTCATTGCTGAAAACCTGTAAAACTCAGCTCTGGGACTACTGCAATGTATACACATTATTTCCTGCCAACTTATAGATGGGAGGAAAGTGGATGTGTGGATGAACTATATGTCTTTCCTTGGGATCACCTGCCACCTACGCCACAAAAAAGACACATTGGCTTAGGCAAATGCAGACAGAAAGCTGATTGGGGGACATTGGGCCAGTCATTTTCAGACTAACTCACCTCACTGGGTAATTGTTTTGGGGAAAATAGATGGCGGGAATATTATGCATCTTCACTGCCTTGAAACACATATAAGAAGGCAGAAAATTTTCCTCCACCCTTTCTGCCACCGCATCCACATATTCAGCTAAACCTTGAAAAGCAGTTGTCACATTCATACGAAAGCCCTCATGTTTCTGTAATAATTCTTGTTGTTGCTGTAATACTTGATCAAACCTGTTTTCCATTTTATCATCCATTTTTTGAAACATCTCTGTCATTTGCTTAATACTTTCAGTCATTAAGTCCTGTAATTCTTTGCCAGAGGGCGGTGGAGGTGAAGAAGATGGCGGGGGTGGCGGGTGGGAAGCCGGCTTAGAGGTTGATTGAGGCGGCTGTGAGATCGGAGATGTAATTGTCTTTGAAATTGTGGGCGCCACTCTTCTCAAAGCCATATTAACAGTTAAAATTTCAATCAATGTAAAAGCTTTTAAAATCTTTTGAACAACTAATCCAAAACGAATAATAAAAGTATTAAAAGTAGCAAAAGTTCCAGACCGGAAATCCGAGTCACTTTCACTTCTTCTTGCTAAAAAGTATCATTCCGTCGCCATTTTAAATTCACTTTCACTCAATCCCCCCAAGTATAGGGAAGATCAGAATATCCAAAGTTAGAGTAAAATCCAAAATAGGAANGTGTGTGTGTGTGTGTGTGTGTGCACTCACATGTATGCATAAAACAACTACATGGAATTTTGTTAGTATTACTGAAACTATTTAATAGGTGGCTTATCAAACTATTAGCATATTGCCAAGCTTTCCACCACTGGTGCCATATGAACATTTAGAGCAGTGGTTCTCAACCTTTTTAATGCCGCGACCTCAACGGTCGTAAGTCGAGGACTAAACCGGTCGTAAGTCGAGGACTAAACCGGTCATACGTCGAGGACTAAACCGGTCGTAAGTCGAGGACTACCCAACCGGTCGTAAGTCGAGGACTTTCCCTGCCCGGGAGCGCCGTGCATGCGTAGTTCCGCCCCCTGCACCGGCAGAGGCGTAGCTGGCAAGCGGCAGAGACAGAGCAGGCCGACCACCAACTGGCCCAGCCCAAGGGAGGTAAGGCACCCGCCGGAAAAGGGGAAAAAAATGGCAGACAAAAAAAATGGCGGACAGCCTTGCTTGGCGACCCCCATGAAATGGTCGATCGACCCCAAATGGGGTCCCGACCCACAGGTTGAGAGCCACTGATTTAGAGCATCTGTTGTGATTCCCTGCCAATGTAACCAAAGACTAGGAATTTGGGGGATTGAAGTTCAGGGCATTTGGGGAGCTGCTGGCTAAAGAAGCCTAGTCAGCTATATGACACTGGTTACTCACATGTAAGGACCGTTGGCATGAGCGCAGCAAACATAAGAAACAACATGGAAAAAAAGAGGAAGCCAGAATTGCTCAGGACTTTCTTTGCTTCATTTCCAATCCCCAAATACAGCAAGCCTATCAGAAGTCCAATTCCAATGTGGGATGTTACCCGCAGATGTGTCAGGACCTGTTAAGAGGGAAAATTATCTTTGAGCTAAGAATATTTTTGAGTTAGCAAATCCTATAGCATGCTAATGTCTATATACAGTATACACACATCCTGAATGACAGACAGGATGATGTTCTCTGTATAGCGTAGAAGCGAGAATGCAAATAATTTTCTAAAACAATGTGATTTTTGTACTAAGAGGCTTCTTATATGTAATGCTTCCAGTTCATGTTTTCAGTTAGTGAAAAATTAAAGTATCTTCCTAAATTTTCCAGTGTGAAAAAGAAGGAATAGATTTGCAATAACCAGCAGATGTGAGACAAAAGTGAGGGACTGGTGGGAAGATAAAAAAAAGAAGAAAATATACTTGGGAAGAAAATACAGGGCTGGACAAAGATTTTGCTACAATTCACTTTGTAATTTTAATTCCACACGTTTCCCAGTATTTTGTACTCATTCATTAAGGTCAATAGGGATGCACTAGAAGGGGGCAAAACTGAAGTCCTCTTAAGAGCATGGATGAAGCTACAGAGGTCGTAGCTCAAAAGAGATGGGGGGAAAAACAGAGGCTTAAATACTAATAATGTTCTTAGTATTATCTAAAGCACATTACACATCCATGTAAAGCTTAATATCCATAGCTCCATTTACATCTCCTGACTTTTGAGATGCAATGATTAAATTATGCAACACTAAAAGAATAAGACCTATCTTTTTATTTTATTTTATGCACTTAATATCAGTAATACGGTTTCATAGGTCAAAACTGATAATTTACAATGCACTTTTCTTTCTTATACTTAAAATCTGAGCCTTACCGAATCCCTCATTATGGTGAGAAAAGTTCTTTTAAACAGTATGCAAAACTGAGTAAGACAGCTGGCTGAGAAGCTATGACAGCCTTCCATGGATGAAGAATCCTGGTGCAAAACACAAGTGGAAAAGAAATCTTTGGTTTGTATTGTTTCTTGGGTTTCAACAGCAATATCAATGAACATAACTTTGATTCTACAAATTTGCCTTCTAACATTTAAGTAAGCATTATATTGAATCCAAACTTGGTTTGTTGCAGTTGGTTCCTATTGAAGGGCAAAATAAAAATAAATAAATAAACTGGCTGGGTTATTTTTGGGACAGTTGAAATCATCCACTGATTTTTAAGATATTTTAGCAGACAATGTTGTGAAATAACAAAATATATGGGCAAAAATGCCAAGATGAGCCAGGAAAATAACCAAGTGCAGCCTTATCAGAGAAACATCCACAATGCTGGCACAAAATCAGGTCACACTGGGCTAGACCTACATTTGTATCAGCTGACTTCTCAGAAGGCAGAACACTAATGTAAACCATTTCTAACATACTGAATCTAACAGAAGCTCCCCCACTTCTGGGCTGCAGCAGTGATGTTTGACCTGGATTCAGCACACAGTCAAATAATTTAGATCAGTGAAGCATTGGCCATTAGAATCCATTGCTTAATATCAGGCTTGATTTTAATAGAACTTAAATTGAAATAATGTATGACAGGTTGGCTCAAATTTACAATTTTTAGAAAAAGAGTTGTTGATTCAGATTTAAGAACTAGCCAACTAATCTTTAACTTTCTAAACAGGACTCAACCACTTGAATTTAAAACAATTCTTTTTTGAGATATAGCTCCTTCTCAACAACATTAAACAACATTAAAGTTGTTACCACTAACAACTAGTGATATATTTATCCATGCATGAGAAGTTCTTTCTTAGTCTGTCACAGACTTGATTTCTCTTCTGTTCCAGGTAAGAAAGATGTTTCAGTGAAACACTGTAAATACTTTGAATAAAATACTTCACATGATATCAAGATTCAGCATATTAGAATTTTAGACTTAAAAATAATTTAGATGTTTACATCAACTATAATCTTAATCTGTCACTTCCTTTGTGTTTCACCAGACTTGAATGGACAGGAAAAAAACCTGAAATTAAACTCAGTGTTACTAATTACAGGGACTGAATTTCAGACATAAACCTATTCTGGATGGACTGGAATTCCCACTTTAAGAATAGGTTGGCACTCTATGGGTGCTTCTGGATCTAGCTTTCATGCTGAACAGCCACATGACATCTGTAGCATGGGAGTCTTTTTACCATATTGACTGTTAAATCAATTTTGCTTCTATCTGAAGAAGAAAGACCTCAAATTAGTAACACATATCCCAGTAGTCACAGAATTAGATTATTACAAATCATTCATTGTGAGATCATCCTTGAAGATAGTCTTAAATTGAAGATGGGCCAGAATTTGGCACTAAAATTTGGGGAATTTATTTCTACAAAGAAAAAGTCACGCTGGTTGCTGGTTGTTTTCTGGGCCCAGTTCAAGTATTCGTGTTGGCATATAAACCTTTTGGGACAAAATTTCTTGAGAAGCACCCCTGTATGATGAGGGGGGTTAATTGTAGAAATAACTGCTGAGTTAGGCTCACTTTTTATTACAATTTAGAAATAATTCAATAGTAATAATATTCAATAAGTGGATAAAAATACCAAATCCAGTCTAAATATATATTTTGCTATGTGATGAACCATAATAATAATAAATTTATTAGGTTTATATGTCACCCAACTCCCAGCCGAAGGAAGGGCTTAAAACTAAAGAACTCAAAGAGCTACAGTGCCTGACCTGATCTCCTTTACTTTGAATTACCTCCTCTGATGGTTTGTGCCATAAAAAGGGGTTAAGTTCATTTTCTCCTCCAGAATTTCTCTTGTAATCTGCATCGCACATTCCTTCTTGCACAGCTCTTACAAGCCTGCTATTCTGATCTCCATATTCACCAGAGGCGACCTCCATCACTAAACAGATAGAAAAAACTATTTAATCCTACTACATAGAAGAATAAAAGCCAGATACTTTATTAGAATAATACTTTATTAAAAGCATTATTCCTAGTTGTCAGGTATGCATAAAATTGTGGAGTTTGCCAACCATCAAGACAAAGTGCAGAAGCGTCTACAGAACTTGCCATTTTCATCAGCATGCTAACGCATTGCAAAGTTCTGCCACTAACCTCAGCTATTTGGGCCATACATGTGGCAGATTGCATTGTGATCCTGTGACATGGGTGACATAGGAAAAGGGACAGGGCTTGCATCATAATGCCCTGACTGACTCCCCTATATCAAAAGGGCTATTGCCACTCGAAAGCATTTGGCATGCATTTGAAAACAATACTGTAACCACAATTTTTTATGACATAAAGTTTATAATTTTAATTAAGGCTAATATCCTTTGGAATTTTAAAGATAGGAAACTGAGTTCCAGCTTATGTGATAAAACTATACTGTCTATTATTTCAACATCTAAGTCAGCCACTTACACACAAACAGTATCTTGGAATTAGAAGCAATAGTTTGGATACATGGCAGCCATTGAAAATTAAGAAAAAAACAGTAATTACAAAAGATCTGAGAATCACATCAGGAATTAGAAAATATTTTCTGCGTGGCTATAAATATAGAAATATGTCATAAACATATTTCTAGGGGTCACAAACTGACCTTGAATGAATGTAGATAGTTCAGATGATATAATTAACATGAAAGTTTAGGGGTAGAGGTACCAATTTAGAGGCATATTATTGGGCAGTTTGTGAAAAACAGGTAACTATGGAGAGGAAACAAAGTTTAAAAAACTTCAGAATTTCTAAAATTGTTTAAAATGATTTAAAAAATTATGGCTGATCAATCAACCAATTTAAATGTGAACTTTATTTCAATATCCATGCAGATAGCTTTAATAATCAACGTTACTACAAATTCTTTTTTTAAAAAACACACACTTCAGTATGCTATTCTTTACTCCATGTAAGAAGAATACCTCTAAAGGAAAATATTTCAAAAAAATTGTCATGAATATTTCACCTTCCTAATTAAATTTTATTTTCAGTATGTAAAGTATACCATCAATTAATGTAAATTGATTATGACTGCCCTATCCTCTTGAATTTATGTTTATTTCCAATAGGAATATGAAATTATCCCCCCAAATAAGGCATGTCTTGAGCTTCTGCATTTTTAATCATAAAAGAGAAAGGGAAAAAAATCAGCAAATACAGCTCTGTTGTATTTTACGTGCTCTTAGTTTTATTTCAAAGAGTTTTTTTAATGAACTAGGTCTGGCAATTCTATCTACCACTAGGGGGTATACGATATCAAGAAATAGATACCATATAATTACCATGCATAGGTATATAAACACACAAACACAGACAAACAGCACACACAGAAATTCAGTATCATTCCCAAAAACTTGTGAAAGAAAGTGAAAACCTCTATCATTTTGCTCACCAAAATCTGCTGGATTGTGATATGTTGGACAATTTAAACCCAAATCTCTCAAATAAGGGACTAAGTTTAATACTTCCCCACGGTAAACGCATTGCCCTTGGCTCAAGACATAGAGCTGAAATAAAGAAAAACAAGAAATTATAAAGTATCTTCCTGTCTAGCTTCAGAATTATGGTGTGCAATCTTATTAAAAAAATATTATCTAAGTGAAAGGAGAAACACTGACATAGTTAAATCTATGTAATAGGATTTTACAGTATATAATATGTGTTTCCAGGTTTAACTACTGGAAGATATTTCTTGCATTTTAATTTATTGAACTCTCTCCTCATATACACAAAAAGCATCTATTTTTCTAATGCCTAGTCTTATTGTACAACATTTTCATATCAACATTTTTCTCAGGTGTAGCTTTAAATTAGCCCTAAATTTTAATTAACAAAATTATTTGTTACATATGTTAGCATGCATGCACACTAGGGCTAATTCAGATCTAATCTCATTTCTCTCATCACAAATTTCCTAAATACACAATCTCAATGTCTTCAATTTCTCAACAATTTCCTAATTCTATTATATTCAATTTTAATGCCCGACAAATTTCAATATGTTAAATACTTTTATCTAATTACACACGGATTACTAATTTTATTTTGATATAAATTGTTAAACCATACAAATTATTGGCAATCTACCCAAAGAGTTACTTCACCTCACAAATATGTTTTGCCCTATCTTGACAGAATTACATTCAGCCACCTTCATGAAGAGTTATGATAAGGCTGATCTATCTCAATGAACAGATTTAATGAACAGCAGCTATTGCCATCAAGCAAAGCAGTCATTCTGCTTGTTTGAAGAAAAACAGGGCACCACTTCACAGAGGTAGTTTGAAGAGACATTTCCTTAGACATCCAGCAAAATAAAGGATGTCTTAAGTACATTTGCATAAACCTACTACATATCGTATGTGGAATATAATAAAGTCCGAAGTCTGAGAAAGGTTGAGTGAAAGTTAAAAAGCTGTGTGAGTGGAAATGTGTGTGAACTCAGCAACATCTCATGTTTTATTCCTGTGCTAAACACTAGGACTGGTAGATCTTCAAGGGAGCACTTCTCTTTCTTGATATTTAACCAAAGCAACCCTTTCAAACCTCCTCTCCTTTGTGAAATAAAACATCCCCACTTATGTTCATCAAAGATGGCTACTTTCACTCAGCTGCTATCATTCTGAGATCTGACGAGCGAGGCAGATTGGCCCTGCCTAGATTTTTGCAAAGGCAGAATGTTACCACATCAAAGTGCTGCAGTGGAATTCTGCAGGGAAAATTACCTTATTAAAGCAAATTACTTTAATATTTAGGAATGATTTGTAAATGCATTTACTAAAATGTAAGCAGTTTGAAGGAACAGCTGGCAGGAGATAACTTCCTTATAATACTCTGTTCTAACTGATTCCCAAAGTAATTCAACTGCACTGACTCATCCTTTTCTTCAGGTGATGTATTACCTATGGGAGGGTGCCACTAACACACAGGTTTTCTCTGTGAATGATTGTTAATATGACGCTAACAAAGAATCTTTTAATGATGAGGAAAGGCCTTTTCAAGACCAGGATCCAAATGGCTCTGACACTGTGTGCACATATGCATGTCTTCCAGCCCTGTGATTCTACCTGATCAAAGAGTTCAAAGAGTTTGGCACTGGGCTGATGGATAGTGCAGATGATGGACCGGCCACCTTGGGCTAAAGCCTTCATCAGAGAGACAACTTGAAAGCAAGATGAACTGTCCAGGCCACTATGAAAAAAATAAAGAAAACACAGTTTGTCCACTTTGTTTTTTTTAATATCCAAAATTGAACTTGGAATGAAGAGTTTGAATGAAAGTCGAGCAAGAGACTCCCACGGGTAATCTTTACTTATTTCTCCCCCCCACACACACACACACATTTTAGCCTGCCATTTATAAAGTTGCTAACACCATATTCTGTGCATCAAAATGTACCCTTGACAACCAGTGATGTTCATGTGTACACTTCTTATATATTATTCACACATAATAATATATGTGGTACATTTTCATATAACCCAGTACAGTACCTTCAGTGCTCGAGTGTCACGAACCCAGAGTAAATTAATCTCTCTCATTTTGGAGCTTTTGAAAGGGCTGGCCTATATTCAGTTAATTAAAGTGATTTGATAGGAGAGTACTTTTGTCAAAGAGCTCAAGATACTGAATACAAGTGAGATACTGGAAAAACAGAAAACTCACGTGATTCATTTCATAAAGCAAAAATTCTTTTGGGGCTGGTGATTTGCCAATTCACAATGGTGGTTACAGGTGATATAAACAATTGCAAAGCACGTAATTATTACAGTGCTACCAGCAACCTCTAGATCAGTGGTTCTTAACCTTTTTAATGCCGCAACCCCCAACCGGTCGTAAGTCGAGGACTAAACCGGTCATAAGTCGAGGACTAAACCGGTCATAAGTCAAGGACTACCCAACCGGTCGTAAGTCGAGGACTTTCCCTGCCTGGGAGCACCGCACATGCGTGGTTCCGCCCCCTGCGCCAGCCGAGGCGTAGCTGGCAAGCGGCAGAGACGGAGCAGGCCGACCACCAGCTGGCCCAGCTCAAGGGAGATAAGGCACCCACCGGAAAAGGGGGAAAAAATGGCGGACAGCCTTGCTTGGCGACCCCCGTGAAATGGTCGATCGACCCCAAATGGGGTCGCGACCCATAGGTTGAGAAGCGCTGCTCTAGATCACACTATACTAGACGCTACCTACTATCTTTGCTTATGCTGGTCCTTTCTTTAGAGGGAAAACAAAGCTTGGATTGTAGCTATCCAACATTTTTATTTTTCCTTTTTTTTCACATTTATTGGGAGCCCTGAGAGCTTCTTGAAAATGTAGGAAGCTGCCCCTTTGCTTTACAGTATGTTGTACTGTGATTTTTTTCTATTTAAAAATAGGGAGATTGGCCTGTGACAAGAATATGTCACTGAACCTCCTGATATTCTCAATACCAAATAATTTGTTGTTGCTGCTGCTGCTGTTATTAGAGTTATAAAAAAAATCTTGAGACCAACTCATGAAGTCATGGTGATCAACGGATATAGACATATGCTATATACTTTGTTTTTCTTATGGAACTCAAAGTAGTACACGTAGTAGTAGCAACTCTGGTTAAATGCAGGATTTCACAACCCGCATACACTACACTTAATGAAGAGATAAATGATGTATTAACACAGGAATTCATACTGACACTTTATTTACCTGATAGAAAGGCAAGATTTCTTTTCAAATAAACACTATAAGTGGATAGAGATGCAAACAATTGCAGAGTGTACTCTGAAATATATGGATGCCTCTAAAAATTAGCCTTTCTGTTGCTTGGGAGGACCAGCTACCCTGTAAATCTAACCTTTCAAAAATGAAATCTAGTTTCTTTTTTTTTTCTTTAACCATCCAGCTACCTCTTCTCCTTACTTTCTCACTCTTTCTCCTTTTTTCTCTTCCTTTCCTGCTGCAGCTACTCTTTGTCCCATCTCCATCCTGTTTTCCCACTTTGTTTTTGACACCTATGAGGAAGTGTCTATTCCTGTGTATGAGAGTTTTATTTAAGTTTGATAGAATGAATGCTAACATATGAAGATGGAGATTCGTGGATTTTATAACTCAAGTACCTTGTTTTACAGATAATTGAACAACTAATGATTAATTAAATTTATAGAGTTTTTTTTTATCTTAAGTATGTCAATTTGGAGTTTGTTTTTAGCATCAAAGTATTTTTTTTTATTTGATTCTGGTTTACATGCACACACTTATTGGAATTATTTAGGCAAGTTTCCAGCATTGGTTTCATCTGAGTTGGCAATCCTAGATTGACAAGGTGAGGAAGCTGAACATTACACTAAATTTTTATCTGTGTTTTAATATATTTTTCTTATCCTCCCTTTGGAGGGAAAGAACATCTTAAATTCAGGATTATATTCAACTTGATGTAATACATAAATGCACAAGGTGAATTTCCACAGTCAAAGGTCTCTGTTTTCTTTAAAAAGATCTGATTAACATTTTAAATTAAAACATCAAGAGGATACTTTTCACTTTTTAATATTTTGGATACTAAAAACAATATATGTTTTGAAGCATATTTGAAATTATTGTCAGCCTTTACTCCAGAACACAAATTACCTGGTAGGTTCGTCAAAAAACATAACCGGTGGGTTGTTCACCAGTTCCAAAGCAATCGCAAGACGTTTTCTCTGCCCTCCTGAAAGGCTTCCAGTACGAGTACTGGCACATGATAGCAAACCCAAAGCTGTCAGGATCTCATTCACCTGTGAAGAGGAACAACATAAGGGAAGCTTTGGTAATAATTTCTGTAATTGTATTCATATCACAACAGTGATTTCTGAAACATAACTGGGTTCTTGAGATTTGCTAAAAAGAATAGGGAAGTGTATAGGTAAATGTTTTTAAATTTTTCTAATGTGCCAGTTCTGAGGTATTAGGAAGCATATTGTTTAATATTTATTTTAATATTGTTCAACTCTTTGGAGTTTGCTATTTCTAGTTATTGTTAAGGTTGTAAGGAAACAAGACTAAATAGTCATTTTGGATGAAAACTATGATCCTGTTCTACTATTATTCTACTATTATCCATGTATTGTACACCCTGCTAGGGATCCAGTTTATACGTTATATGCAAACTGGATATTCTTTGCATTCAACATTTCATACATCTGGTGAAAAAGAGAGAAAACATTCTATAAAATCTTCTAAAATACTTTTAGATATAAAAAGTATACTGTGTTTTCTTCTAAAAGAAAGTAAGTACCACATTTTTAAGTCAGAATTAAGTAATACACATACCATTTCTCTCCTGCCTTCATCTTTTTCTTGAAGTTTCAAGTGGGCAGACACCTGAAATAGTAGAATATTATACTTATTAATTCAATTTATTTGGGGGAAGGGGTTACTCATGCAAAGCATTTATCTGGTTCCTATAATACAGTATAGGTCTTTTGCAACTAATGTGGCTGCTTATTTAAAATACGTAGTTATTATTGTATAGAAGTCAGGAAACAAATCCTTAAGAGATTAAATATTATCAATAGTTTCAATTAGGATAAATATTTGTTAGAATAATGTGAGAAGCTTGCAAGTATTCATGAAGAAAAAAAGACACCTTTGACTGAACAATTTCTTCAAGAAACTACTTAAAAACATTTTACCTGAAAATTATACTTTTATTATAATAATTCTGCTTAGAAAAATAATATTTTCCAAAGCTGTGAATGCATTTAGGTATACTACCCTCCAAAATATTTGATTGTATTCTGTTGCAGTTCAAGAGAGCCAGCCACATAGTTCAAGACTTGCAAGTTTTGATATATTTTTGAGGTTGAGATACGCATATTTTTGTAAGATTTGTCTGTTCAATTCAGCATCTGTAACACAATGCTCAAAAAGACCAGATTTTAATTTAAAATTGAATGCTTGCTTAGAAAGGACATACTTGATCAACAATATAGAGTACTGAAATAATTTTGATTATTTCTGAGACTCCCAACATGATGGTGACAAAGAATTGGAAATACACATCTGAATAAAATATCATTAAAATGGGCTGGCTAAAAAGTCTAAGATCATTTCTTTTTTCCCAGTTTTTATTAAATTGATTGACAAGCAGTATCTATTTTGCAGTTCCTGTAAAATTGAAACACAACAATTTACTGAACAGATTGGCTGGAACATCCCAGGGGTGCTGATGCTAACACTCTATGAACAACAGCCTATGCTTTGGTTTATTCCACAGTTGAATATTGTGCCAGGGTATGGCTTAACAGTGTCCAATGGTCAATGTCCAATTCCACCAGACAATGTGTATCATCTCTGGCACATTGGATCCCACTCCTGTGCACTGGTTACTAGTACTTGGCAATATCATGACATCCCACATTAGAAGACAACACGCTCTCATTCGGCTATGGTCAAGGATGTTGTGATTGTGGTGGTGATATGCAAACTATTAAACATATTGTGCAGGTTTTGCACAATATGTTTATATTGTTTGCACAATATATTGTTTGCACTAACTGCTGGCAGTCAGCAGAATTAGCCTGCAATACTCTATTATAACCACCATGGATGCATCAGATACAATGATGGCAGAATGTTTGAAACACAATGGCTATTTAACAGCCACATGCAATGAAAGCAACACCCTTTCTCTTGTCTTTAAAATATAAACATGATGCATAAACTGATCTTTAGTGCTGTAACTATGGGAGAAATAACATGTTAGAAAACAGTGAAATTGAGTAATACAGATAGTGGCAATTTGCCTAGAACATACTGATTTGGAGCAGCATATAAAAGCTTTAAAATATGTAAGTAAATAGCAGTATTCCAGCTGCTTCTGTATTTAATCTCTGTGAATGTGCAGATTTTGTGATTTATAATATAGCTTCATAAATATAGCTTTTAAAAAATCACCAGTTTCTACCTCACACATTCCTTTCTTCCAGCAAAGCTACCTTTTCTTTCTTTCTTTCTTTCTTTTCTCTTTCTTTCTTTCTTTCTTTCTTTCTTTCTTTCTTTCTTTCTTTCTTTCTTTTTCTTTTCTTTTTTTTTCTTTTCTTTTCTTTTCTTTCTTTCTGGGAAATTTACCCAATTGCTGGACAAAGGATACAATCTGTCCATTAGTTCTTCAGCAAAGCAGATTTAATGGAAGATTTTTCCTCCCTGTGAATTGGGACAGGAATTATGTTGTCCATAATTCCTCTTAATCTTTTTCATGAATGCACCTTATTTCTTTTCATGTTCTTTGATGCACAATAATCACTGCGTAACCCAGGAAGAAGCTAATTCAGAAAAAAAACAACTGTATGTTACATAGATGTGATTGCTATTATTAATAACCATACCATCATAGCTTCCTGGACAGTAAGATGTGGAAGCAGCATGTCATCTTGCATGATGTAACAAGACACTTTGCGGAAAGAACGCAAATCACGATGTTGCCCATTTATGAGAATTTCTCCTTTCATCCCAGTCTCTCTGAAAGCAAGAGAAGAAACAGCCTATTTTTTTTCCATGCCTCTAGAGCAGATTAAACAGGCAAGCCTATACATTCAGGTTTTTCACAGTACAGGAGTCAGTTCTTTTCTAGTATATGCAAGTAAGCATGAAATGTGAAATAATTATTATCAGAGTCTGATACACAAACAGTTTAAGGGCTATTATAGAAAAACCTTCCATTCACAAATTGTTATTTATTTATCAAGTTTCTATATGTGCAACTATCATAGGGAAACTACTGTAACTCTCCTAATAGCACACAGTGTTGGATTTACATCTCTGAAGTTCCTGAAAGACTAATACATTTAGGCTGAAAATATCTTCATAATGAAAAGGTAAGTGCATTACGTCAGAGTTCCCCAACCTTTCTGGCTTTGCAGACTGGTGGGGGGGGGAGAAGAGGGGATGGTTACACCTGAGCGACCTGCAAGCACAGCTCCATTTGTGCAAGAGGCATGCACGTGTGCCCGCTGCTCACAGTAAATGGAGTGCACATGCACACAGTTGCCCGCTGCTTGCACAAGTGGGGATGCACACATGCGCATTCACCTGTTTCCATGGCCCAGTTGCAAACAGTTCACGGCTCATTAGTGGCCCATGGCCCAGAGGTTGGGGACCCCTGCATTAAGCTACATGGCCAAAAATGGATAATAATTTTTTTCTTATAATTGCTAGAATGGCAGTACATGTTGAAAAGGCTGTCCCACATACCAGAGCTGTGGACAAGATGCCAAACCAAGTGCCCTTGGAAAATAGATGATAGCAGAAGAAATGACCAAACTGCTTATTTAAAGCAGAAGGTGGAGCCAAAATGTAAAGATGCAGGCGGCTTCTGGGACGAAGGGCACGAGACCGCCAATCTTTCATCCTGATTTTTACAGAAACCATTGTTAATATTTAAAGTTCACCAAGAGATGCAGCCTATCACATAAACATATATTACATACATACATACATACAAACATACATACATACATATATATATTCATAGATTTTCACGGGTACAGGTATGCAGGTCTTGGCGTATTTGGGTCTTTTCCTGTGTAAGATTGAGAGTATCTTAGCGACGTTTCGACAAGGTCCCACTTGTCATCTTCAGGCTGGGGTCTTCAGCTTCGTGCTTGTGCGAGCAAAGTGTGATCGGAGCTGCCGTCTCTCTATAAATATTGGTGGGGGTGTGTGGAGTGCTGGCTTAGATGCTGTAGGTGGATTGGTTGGCTGTGTGGATTGGTTGGCTATTATTGTTTGCGGATTGTTCAGCTGTTTTGTAACATCCTGAGTAGTTGAGGTGCTGGCTGTGTGCCCATTAGTCTTTTGTGTTATAATGACCTGGGTAATGGGTTGTGTGATTACATCCTAAGATCTAGTGTAGTGATATCCTGAGTTTTGTGTTGCAACATCCTGGGTGGTTGGCTGTGTTGTAACATCCTGAGCTTTAGCGTTGTAACCTCCTGAGTTCTGTGATATGGTGTCCAGAGCAGAAGGCTGTGATGTAGCATACCGGGCTTTGGTTTGGCTCCGAGTTTGCGGTCTGGCTCTGTGTTCATGGCGTGTGTCTGTTTGCTTTGTGTGGGGGTCGGAGGGAGGTGCAGCAGCTGGTGATGTCGTCGTGGGACATCTTACATGGGAAAAGACCCGAATACGCCAAGATCTGCATATATATATATACTCGTACAGTGCATCTTGGCAGCACACTTAACTTCTTAGACATTGGTCATAAAAAAAGGTGTGCAGGTGTTTTCCTTACTCTTACTGACCTGTATCCTGCCAGGAGATTCATAAGGGTCGACTTCCCAGCTCCAGAAGGACCCATAATTGCCACCAGTTCACCACTGCTAAACTTTCCAGAAATTCCTTTTAGCAAAGTCTTGAAACCTATAAAAAGGGAAAGGAGAGAGAGAGATAAAATTTAGAAAACATGTTTTTCTAAAATAGGTAGAACCTTGTGACAGCCATTGGACAGCTTAAAAACAAATAAAAAAAACAGAGTAAGAAAGCAAATAAAATACCACAGTGAAACCCACTAATTACAAAACTGGTGAGGTCAAAACTTGGTTACTTTAATAGAAATAAAATCTTAGCCATGTTAAGATAAATAAAATGACATTGATCAGACAGTAGCAACTGTAAATAATATTGGCTATCATTTTTCTTGGTTGATATAGATATAGAGACACATATATTTTTATCGTGCTTATGCTTGGTTTTAATTTGGTTTTATGATTATTTGCCACCCAGAGCCACTTATCTGAGAGAGGGCCTGTAGAATTTGAATGAATGAATGAATGAATGAATGAATGAATTTGATCCAGATATCCTGGAAATCTGACTACCTGTCTGTCATTAACTGCAACCGGGCATCTTTGTAGTGGCTTTGGAAACTCCTTTACCACCATGACAAAGGTCTTTGTCCATGTTTTTTTTCTAATATTTTAAGTTTCTCAGACAGATCTAGTACCTGCTTTCCTTATTTCTTTCAGCAATCAAAATAGTTTGGGAGGTACAAAACACATGCACATAAATATTCCTACTACCAAATAGATATTAACTTCAACGCCAGCAAACTTACTTGGATGATGATTATTTAGAAGTTTCCTTGAAAAGTTCAGCAAAAGCTGCATTTTAATTTGGTGAATAGATTCATGTAATGAATGCAATAAGGTATCTAGATCTTGAAAAGGCATAAAGGCAGTTATATTTAGGATTGTGTATGGGTAATATTTCTTTGTAGTAACCATTGTAATTCATTCAGGACATCTAAGTGTTCCATTTTATACACATCTACTGCTTTGTTACAACCCATAACTCAAAACTTGTATTTTGGTTTTATTTTTATGGATCTCTTACAATTCAGGGCTAATTGCACAGGCATCTAAGCAGTGGGGGAAACAAACCCTGTGACCAATATACTTACATCTGATGTCAGGGCACAAATAAAGGCCAAATTTGTATTGTGACATCTCTATGTCCAAGCTGTCATTAGTAAGGACTAGAACGCTTATTCAAAAGACTACCGTAATCTTTCTCTGTCTTAATAGCATACTGAAATGACCCACGTGAGTTTAGAGTTTATAAAGTTCTGTTTTTCCAAAATAAAAACAGACAAATTGCTACTTTGGAATTTCAGCTTATAGATCAATTTTTGGTGAATTCTTTTTAAAACTGAATTCTCTATTGTACCAAAATCTATACTTCAAATATAAAAGCAGAAACAAAGAATGATTTCAAGATACCTTCCAAACCCCCAATACAGGTAGTCCTCAACTTACAACATTTAGTTTGGTGACTGATCAAAGTTACAACGGCACTGAAGAAAATATCTTATGACTGTTTTTCACACTGACAATTGTTGCAGCATCCCCACGATCATATGATTTACATTTGGATGCTTGACAACTGACTCACATGTATGACAGTTGCGGTGTCCCAGGGTCATGTGGTCACCTTTTGACAAGTAATGTCAATTAGTAACAACCTTGTTACTAATTTAACAACTGCAGTGATTCACTTAACAACTGTGGCAAAAAAAGTCATAAAATGGGGCAAAGTTCACTTAACAAATGTCTTGCTTAACAACCAAACTTTTGGGCTCAATTGTGGTCATAAGTCGAGGACTACTTGTAAAAGGGAAAAAAAACCTCAACCCACTTTTGGCTTCACAACCTCATCCAAGACAACCCTCAGCCATCCAAAGTCTGTTCACCTTTATTTTGCCCACTTTGTGAATAGGAGGATTATCTTTGAATCTGTCCAAATTGCATTTTAAAAAATCTATTCTCAGTTCCACAAAATATCCCCAGTGTCTATTGATGATTTGAAGTATATATGTGTAAAGGCAGAACGCAAGTATGAATTCTGAGTTAGAATGTTTGGACAAGATTTTATCACTGCAGTACGGATAGCCTGATCTCTTAAGGCTCCTTTTCTCACCAGTGACTGGACAAACCTTCAGCAAAATTTATTTTTTGGGTTTCCCTATCTTCATTATTCATTAGCACTATAATGGATAAACTGCAAACATTTTACAGCAATCTCATGAGCTCTACTTAGTGCCTTACTTATAGCCATTCATAAGGGATGCCTTAAAAAATTCCTAAAACAGAATGGATCTATTCTAATTTAAGTGGAGATAAAAAGATGGATAAAACATGGCTTTTGCTTCTCTTTCTGTATCTCTGTTTTCTCTTCTTTTATGATATTTGATACAAAGAGTGGAAAAAAATGCTTTATCTGCCCATTGTTTTCCATGTGTTTGTCCTTTTTCGTGAAGACTGTCTAGTTTTTCAGTCAACAAGTACGCTATTCTTTACATGGGTAAGTACCTGAAGGGGAGAAGATATTCATTTCAGAATGAAAACAGTTCTCATAGTACTTGTTCAACCCAAGTTATGTTTGGATTGCTCTTCATCAAGCCTGTTAACCTTGTGGATACAGGCAGTGGTGGGATTCAAATAGGTAAACAATCGGTTCTCTGTGTTGATACCGTTTCTGGAAGTCCATTCTGGGCCTGGGCAACAAACAATTAGCTACCGTTTCTGTCGAACTGGTGCGAACTGGCTGAATCCCACCACTGGATACAGGCCAAGAGCCTTTCCCCAAAGGACTGGAGCAACTACAACCTCCAGGAAGTGCCATGTGGCTACTCCAAGGCTTTCCCAGGCTCTTGTACACACCTACATGCACCATGACTTGGTTTGACCTCAGTAGAGGTTTTGGGAAACCTCCACACTTTGTTTACTTTTATGAAGAGATTCTTGGTGTACTTCCAAAATAACTTTCACAATTGTAACTGAAATGATTTTGGGAGCCCATATAGTACATGAACAAGAAGTCCCTACTTGTCCTTATAAATACATTATTTCATTTGGTGGGATTGCAGAACCGGTCTAACGGTATGAAGCATCTTACACAATGCTGCTGTATTAAGCTTCCAAATCATTCCTTGTAATGTACCATTATAAGTATATTTGCACTTCCATTTTAAAAGGAGAGGGTATAAAAATTATCTAATTGGATTTTCTTAATTAGTACTGTAGGCCAAAGGGATTTAAAACCCTATGATGTAGGGTGAAAGGTCTTATGAAAGTCTACCGTGCAGTGGCAAGTTGATAGATAATACCAGCACTGCTCTTTGTGATCTGTTTTCAACTAATAAAATACTCAGACACAAATAGCAATAGCACTTAGACTTATATACCACTTCATGGTGCTTTACAGCACTCTCTAAGCAGTTTACAGAGTTAAAGTATTGTCTCCAACAATCTGGGTCTTCATTTTATCGACCTCAGGAGGTTGGAAGTCTGAGTCAACCTTGATCCGGTCAGGATCAAACTTCTGGCAGTGAGCAGAGTTAGCCTACAATGCTGCATTCTAAGCACTGCGCCACCATGGCTCAGGTGCTGTCATCCTCTGTAGCACTTATTAGTGAACATATATTTCAAATAACTGAACTCTTTGCTATAAGGAGCTGAATAGTCATTAGAATGTGTCGACCCATATATTTTATATTGGCATCACAAGTATATTTGGCAATATGTGATCCTTTCAGATCTTTATTGCTTGCCATGGATTTACCAAGAATCAAAGAGTTTAGAAATGGCTGAGGATTCCACTAAAGAACTGTTGTCTGAGAAAATAAGCTATATTAATACAGGACAAAACTCACATAAGGGCTATATGATACCTGGAAAAAAATACCAAAGCCTTTTCTCTACCATCAGTACCATCGGTAACACCTTTACTTAATTTGCTGGCTGGGAATTCTGGTAACTGGACTCCAAACATACCTAGAAGGCATTAGATTAGAGTAAATTGCAATATCAATATCATTCTGTATAGTGAACAAATAAGAAAAAAATGCCATTTTTATTATTTACTTGCACAGCTGACAAAGACAAAAAGCTACATATAACGTATCTACCATTAATCAGTGTACAAAATACCAGATGCTTCCTGAATATTTCTTACATGTGTGATTGTCTCTTGTGCTAAGTTGCCAACACAGGTAATAAGTGATATATCACCATGTCTCTGAGAAGAGAAAATATACAGCCATTTCAAAACAGAAGTTAAATTGCAGTCACTATAAATAAAATTGATGGCAAACTTTGATAAGCACCATCATTTTGCAACAAAGGTTTGTATTGTGTTCAGCCAGTTAGATATTCAGTGCTAAATGTTAGTCATGGGTGCAGCCATACAAGACAAATTGGAAGACACAGCAACATCTTCAGCACCTGCTAAACTAAGAAATTGGTAGAAACTATATGGCTGAAGGAGGCAGATCCAGTATAGAAAGAAGGAAGGACTTATACTGATCTAATTAACCAGTTTCAACCTTTGTGAGCCAATTTACAATTTATTAGCTAAACTGACAACTAAAAAATTACTGTCATCCTCTGCAGCATTTATTCGTGAACAGATATTTCAAATTCTCATTTTTCATGTTGTCAAAATGGCGATTTTAAGCACACATACAGCAAAGGCTGTATGCGAATCAGCCTTTGAAGACATGGACTCTAAAAATCAAAGAATGTCTCCAGGGGGGAAAAAAACCTTCCACAAACACATCAAAATTAGTTTAGGTATAAAATAAAATCTTAATTTAATTATCTAACCTAGACTACAACAGTAGACAACTGCTATAAGACTGTAGTAATAAGACAGAAAGAGTATGATTGAAAACATTGGTTCTTGAAGTCTTTATTATTATATTCCACATTACAACAAAATGGAATTTTAGCAAGTAAGATAGAAGTTATAGACAGAAAGTTGAAAGAGAACTAGATAATCTGGCTCCACTGGAACTGAGAGAGAAGGAAATTTGTTTAAAGACCTAGAGCAATCGCAGAGGTTTCTGATGAAGATATTAGAAA